AAGCAAGGTTTTATCATCTGCATATCACAGATTGTTAATGAGTTTTCCTCCAATCCTGATGCCATGTTTTTCTTCATATAATCCAGCTTCTTGGATTATTTGCTGAGCATACAGGTTGAATAAGTATGGTGAAAGAATGCAGCCCTATCACACACCTTTCTTAATCTTAAACCGTTCAATGTTCCCATGTTCTGTTCAAACAACTGCCTTTTGGTCCATGTACAGATTCTTCATGAGCACAATTAAGTGTTCCACAATTAAGTTGCTAAGTGAAGCCAGGGGAATTTAGGAAGCCTGTGGGGTGAGATAGAGTCAGGTGTTAACTTCCTGGTATTCAAACAATGTGGCGGACATTGTTTATCTGAATAAGAACTAAGGCAAGACTGCTCCTCCCTTTATTTTTTTAGCCTCCAGATTCATCTCATTTCACAAACTTCAGTCCAATACCTATCTGTTCCCTAGATAATGAAGCCTGTAGCTAATTTTTTCATTGGTCCATCCACACATTCATTTGTCAAACAAATATTTATCCAGCATCTATCATGTGTTGGGTATTGTAGGAAATCTAGGGATTCAGTGAGAGTAAAACAGATGACTCTCCTAGTTTTCATTAATTCAACACATATTTACTGCATACTTACTATGTACCTGAAAGGAAGCCTGGTAGCATAGTGGATTACCAACTGGGCTACTAACTACTGCATGGTCACTAGCTGAAATCTACTAGTCACTCTGTGGGAGAAAAATGAGGCCTTTTGCTCTCATAAAGATATACAGCCATAGAAATCCTATACAAGGTCGTTATGAATCGCAACTGACTAGGTGGCACATGACCACCACCACTATATAACTGGTACTGTGCTGGACACTGAGGATACCCTGGGGAGTGTGACAGACCCATTCCTTCTTCCTACTCTCTCTCATTCATTTACCCATTAACACATGTCTGTTTGGGTTCATAATGATTGACGTGTTGTGTTTGCAGAACTCCTAACCCACCAGAAGCACACTTGGCTATATCTCATGCTGTTTGCAGAGTGCCTTGCTGTTGCCAGACCCTGCCTGCTGCCTTGCCTATGACCCTCAGTTCTGGCTTACACATATAGGCAGGCTGATGAACAACTGAGATCCACTTTTCTGCCTTGCTTCTGCCCCCAGTATTCCTGGCATCACAGCTTAAACTTACCAACTCCCCAACTGCCCGTCTCTGCCAAGTGACTTTGTTGATATGCCTTTCCCATTGCTCCAGTCCAGTTCAGAAAGATGGAGGGGCATGGCTACCCCCCCCCGCCCCCGTTCCTGTCCATGTCCCTGTGGCTCTCAGGTACCTCTGATCCTCTCTGTCCCAGCTGCCCTGGGTAAGAGGAGGTGTGTGTGGAAAGGCTGCCGGGTTATCCATTAACTCGGCCATGAGTTGAAAGACCGACGGGCAGCAAGCTGACTTGAGTTTCATTCTGCCAATGGGCTCATTCTGTGCTTCAGGCCTACCCATGACTCCAGGATGGTCTCATCATCCATAATATCGAGGATACAGGCGAAAATGCAGAAGAAGATGTTGCGAGAGTTCCTGGGAGAGTTGATGAGCACATATATCATGATGGTGAGTGGGCACGCAGCACAGGGACCGGGCTCTGAGGCAAGGGCTTGAATCCCAAGATCCTAGGCTGGTTAGGCTCAGTAAAAGCAGTCTATGAACCCTCTTTCCCTCCCCAAGACACTGACCCCATGAGTCACATTATCCATCCCCCTGTCTCCACCAAAGAAAGTAAGGAGATAGGCCTTTTTAACCAAATCTTTTCGGGGAAGGAAGGCTTATGATACATGGGGACAGAATGAAGCCACAGGTTGGGGGTAGGGGGAGACAGGGGCATGGCTGGAAGTGGAAAGAAGGGAAACTAAGGATAAAGAGGATAATGAGAAACTTGAATGCCAGATTTTGAGAATTAATTCTGAGGAAAATGGAGAGACATTGAAGGATATCAAGCAGGGGAGTGATGTAGTCAGATTTGGATTTTAGAAGATGCAGTGTGGAGCTTCAGAAGGAAGGGTGCAACTAGGGACCAGTTAAGAGACTGCTACAATGACCTAGGCAAGAGGGGTGACTGATCTAGGACATGGAGAAGAAAGCACAGGTTTGAAAGAGTTGTAGAGGATGGAATCAGGGACATTTTGTAAGCAACAGATGTGGAGTATGGGCTGATGAGGCCTTACTCTGGGGCACGCAGTTCAGCCCAGGATGAAATGAAGTCAGTTTGGACCTGATCAGGTAGAGAAATCCAGAAGATGGTTCCTTCTTTAGAGATATTGGGGTCTGGAACCAAGAGAGTGGCTTGGACTGGAAGTAAGAGTTGAAGTTCATCAGAATATGGATGGTGGTTGTAAAAATTGTCCAGAGTGTATAGAAAGAGAATAGAAAGAGGTTGAGGACAGAGCCCTAAGGGACAGAACTTCCAGGAATGAAGAGGAGCTCACAAAGAAGTCTGAGAGTGGCAAGACAGGTAGGAGGAGAACCAGAAGCAGGGAGGTCAGGCGGGGAGGGGCAGGGGACATTTCCTTAGGGAGGGTGTTCTCTGAAGTATGGGGAGCTGCTGAGAGGCCAAAGAAGGGGAACACTGATAAGTGTCCATCAGATTTGGTGACACAGAGGTCACCTTAGTGAGGACTCTTTTAGTGGATGATAGACGCAGAAACCAGACTTTAAGGGAGATGTGAGGTTTCTCAGAATCACCTTTTCTCTGCAGGGCTGCCACATATTTCACGGAACCTCTCGGCGCTTAGCAGGAGCTATAGCCATATTTGTGGTGCTTTATGTAGGGCCCAGGCTCCAGAAAAGGCAGCCAGAGGAAGTGAGGATGAGAGAGGCGGTGTGTGTGTGAGATGTGTGCACAGAGCCACTGTGCAAGAGGTAGATCACAGGTGGGACTCTGGACACCTGGGTTCTTATCCCCACTCTGCCACTGGGTCACCAGTTAGCGTTGGGAGGTCTTTTTCTGCCTCAGAGCCTGTCTTGTTGGTGAATGAGTGTGTTGAATCAGTTCTCCATTGGTTTTGGAGTCCACTGGACCTGGGGTTAAATCCCTGCTCTGCCATTTCCAAGCTGTGTGATACGTAATGCTCAGAATGTTTTCTTCTTGTTGGCAAACATGGACACTAATATAGAGCTGTCAGACTTATGTGAGGAAGGTCAAGTGGCTTACACCCGGTACACATGTGTAATTTCCTTGTTATGACAAGCGCTCTGAGTGACTCTTTCTTTTCTGCACCCTGCCCTCTCTCCATCTCTCATTCCAGCTCTTTTGCCTTGGCTCCTAAGCTTTAATCCAGGACAAAGTAATTCATTTATGATGAGACATTCAAAAAACATCCCCTGAGGGCTATTAAACCTTGGAACTACAGAGGTCAAAGGGTGCCTCCTCAAGAGCTCTTGGAAAGTAGGCCACGTCCACATGCACTATGCCTGCCCCTATCTGTCCTTCCCTTCCTATTATAGATTATGTTTGAGCACCAACTACTTACCAGGCACAATGACACTAAGCACCTTACTTGTAGCATTTCCCCAAATCCTCATAGCAGCCCTATGAGGCAGGTTCTATTATTATCTCCACTTCACAGATGGGGCAACTAGGTTCCATAAAACTTAGTCACTTGCCCAAGGTCACAATTTAAGTCAAGATTTAAATCCAGTTTAGTCTGATTGCAGTCTTGATCCTTCATTTCTTTGCTCTGTCCCTTAGCTTAGATATGGCAGGTTTTCTAGCACTCTAGTGTATTAACCTATTCCCAGTTGGGGTATGGCCCCTTACTTTCAGGCTTTAAGTAGTTCAAGATCCCTTTGTCGGCCTCAGTTTTTCCTACTGCAAAGCGGGAGCAAAAACATTTGCTACTCAGATTTGCTGTGAGGATTGAAGGGGGAAGTAAGGCTTGTAAAAAACCTTTGTAAGGACATTGTTTTGTTATTTTTAGCTGCCAGGTCAGTGCCAAGGAGTGGAATAGGGGCTTTTCAATTGTTACGAGGCTCAGTGAGTCACCAGGGTAAGTGTTTTGCCAGAAAAGCTAGTGTGACCTTGGGCCCCATTTATTGAGCCTTGGATAAAGGAAGTGGACTGTTCCATTCTACACAGATTCCTCTAGGGGTGTTGTCCTTGGGTCTGGCCTTCTCAGATCAGAAGGACATTGATGAGCTGGGTCACATTCACTGACAAGGGAAGGGAGAAGCTGGAGCTTTCGGGGCCGTGGAAAAGCAGCTATAGATAGACGTGAGCCAGAGGACAGGGGTTGTAAACTCACGTGCTACAGAGTGTGAGTATCTCACAGTGGTGGGGACTGCGGCTGTCTGCAGAGTGTTTTGCTGTGGAAGGGCTGACCATTGCCATCGAGGGTCCAGTGCAGGCCAGCATTGACCACACGTCTGCTTTTTCAAGGGAAGCTGAAACTTCAGGTCTTCAAGACCAAATTATCCAAATGAAATGTGTTGACAGTTGACAGTTGGAACCCGTGACCTAGAGTCCATTCATTCATTCATTTACTGTTTTTAGCAAGTTGTCTTAAGCTCTTACTTGGAAGTAGGGGACCATCTGCCTTCAGACCCTCCATGCTTGCACCAGTCCCTATAACCTCCTGGCATCTTCAGCCTATCAGTTTGTCCTGACCTCATACTGCACTCTCACCCACACCTGCCCAAAGCCTGCCACTATCCTCATCCTGGTCCCTAACATAGCCTCCAGGCTCCCCTGTACTTGTTCTGGGGGTTTTGAGGGGCCAGTGGTTCCTACTCAACTGCATCTCCTCTGCCCCATCCAGGTGATTTTCTCATACTGCTCCCAAGCCTCTCTGTTTGCACTTCTACCCACCTTTTCATCAGCAAATGGCTGGCTTTATCTCTTACTTGCCAAGGGAAGCATCAGACAGACTTCCAGGGAATCAGCAGTCACACCTGTCTAGGGGGCCACAGGCAGTCTCCCACTTGGCTGGTGTGGTTGTCCCCGCTCCCTCACAGAGTACCCCTCCACATAGGAGTCAGATCTCACTCAACCTGCTTTCTAAACTAGTTTGCTCTGTGAATAATCTCTCTCTCTCCTTTATCATCAACCTCTCCCTCTCTCAAACTGTACACATACTGAAGTCTCTCCCAGTTAAAACAGCACAATACAAAGTGAAACATCCCTCCCTTCACCCTGTGAACCTCTCATGCACATCACTTGATTTCTCTACCTTCTCAAGCAAGTTTCTATACTGGGACTGTTTCTACTGCCCTCAACTCTTCTTCATCACATCTCCATCTCCAGGATCTAGCTTCTGTTCCCATGGCAGGATGATAAAATGCTCTCCACAGTTACAAATGACTATAGGACCACCAACTGTGAAGGGATGCTTTCCAGGTCTTAATGTTCTTTACCCAGAAGTTGCCTATGATAGTGTAGACAATACTCACCTTTGGAAAACTCAGCTTTCCCCTGGCATCTTTAGCACATTCTCTCTGTTCTTTCTCCACTTAATACCTGCCCCAGGAGAAGTTTCTGAGTGCTGATGTGTGGCTGTAGGCTCATCCTTCAGCTTCCTCCGTCACCATCTCCCAGGGGCCTCCAACCATCCCAATGCCTCCAACTGCAGCCTTCCTGCTCACCATTCTCCAGTTTTCCTCTTTCTGAAACTCTAAATCAGTGCTGCCTAAGGGAAAGACAATATGTACCATGTATGAAATTTAAAATTTCCTTGCTACCACATTCAAAAGGTGAAAAGAAACAGGCACAATTAATTTTAATAGTATATTTCATTGATCTCATTGTCAACTTGAATGGGCCATGATTCTCAGTAGTTTAACAGTTATGTTATAAAGTAATCACCCTTCCATGATGTGATCTGATGTGATCAGCCAACCAATTGTAAGAGGACAAGGGTGAGAACATCCTCACTCAGCCCATGGTCCAGTCTGGGGCGTGGTTTGCATCATCTTTTCTCATAGAAGAAACAAAAGGGTAGAGAATCAAGCAGAGAAGAGTTAGGAGCAGAGCACATCGTTTTGGATCTGGGCTCCTTGCACTGAGAATCTCCTAGACCCAGGGGAAAGATAGATGCCAAGACACAAGGGATGCCAGGCCCACAGATGTTGAAAGGAGACAAGGACCTTCCCACAGAGTCAATAGAAAGAGAAAGTCGTTCCCTAGAGCTGGTGCCTGAATTCCGACTTTTAACCTCCTAAACTGTGATAGAATAGATTTGTGTTGATCAAAACCATCCACTTGAGGTATCTCTGTTATACTACGTAACAAAAACACCTATATATCTAAAATATTATAATTTTAATATGCAATCAATATTAAATTATTAATAAGATATTTTACATTTTCATTTTCCTACTAAGTCTTTGAAATTTGATGTATATTTCGTACATACAGCAGATGTCAATTTGGATTAGTTATAGTTCAAGTCCTTAATAACCACATGTGGCTAGTGACTATCATACTGAGTGGCCCAGGTCTAGACTCTTAATTTCCAACAGCCTGGACATCTCTATCTAGATATGCCTCAAATACATCATGTCCAAGTCACATAGACTTTTCAAAGAAGACACCATCTGAACTTGACCTTAAAGCAGAGTAT